TTCTGCTTTACGGTTGTGAGACCTTGAATTTGCGGGTAGAAGACACCCGTCGTTTAGCAGTGTTCGACAATCGATGCTTGCGTAGTCTGGCCCAAGGGGGATGGAGTGAGCAGGTTAGTAACTTAGAAGTAAGTCGTCGGGTGTTTGGGAATACATCAGACAAGAACTCGCTATCTCATCGAATCTAGCTCAGTAGGCTCCGTTGGTTAGGACACGTTTTGCGTATGTGCGACGGTCGCCTACCGCAGCGCGCCTTATTTTCAGTGACTGTTGCAGGCTTTTAGAAAGCCACGTGGAGGCCAGCGGATGACGTGGAGACGAGGTATGAAGAAATGCACTGAGCGATTAGGTAGACTAGATGTCTCTCGTCTTTCGGGTTGGGGTCCAAAAGACTCCAAAACCGCATAGTAGGAGACACTGAAGATCATGGCAGCGAACCGACAGCAGTGGTGATCATGTTGTCGCTTCCTATCAGACCAGAATGCTTGAAATAGTATGTATGCACAATTGGGCTGTGTGTGTGGACCATAGACGTTCACTTTCTTTTCCCGTCCCTAAGAATAGGTCCAATCCCTGTCCTCCTCACACATTCTCACTTATCTTGTGTACTTTATGAGTTTGGCAGCGATCAGTGAAGTTCGCCTCACTGTTCGCTTCACATCATGGCACCCTAAGAGCTAATTGATCCCGCTTCCTCTTTCAACCCAATATAACCCAGCTTATCGTAATTAGTGAGACATTAATCCGATTATATTTTCCCGTTTTGTGCCAACAGGTTATTAGCGCAATCAGTTCATTTTCCCAGAAGTTGACCTTTTACTTCTGTTTAGTTGTTCCGATTTATAGACATGCCTGTTCACTAGTATTTACCAAACCAGTGTGCTATGCACATCGCACGAGAAAAATATTGCCCTCTTATACTTTTGAACTCTCCGTTCCTATATGTGCAGTCATCATTTTTGTTAATTCAGACTTTTTGGGATTTAAGTTGTCGCAGTATCAAATGAAGATTTTCTGGTATCATTTCAACTGTTCCAATATCATCTCAAGCTGTTTTTATCTGATTTCGAGCTGCCCTATTGATCTCATCAGAGCTTCTAGGCCTGTGCTCGTCACGTCTTCTAACAGTGTGTGGATGACTACTATGCAGCACAGATTTCTCAGTCTCTTGTTGAAACGAGGGGAAAACGATTTTGGGAACTTCCTGTAATCCTGTAATCTTGGCCCTTTTACTTTTCCACTGCGCGTATGTGTATGTGTTTGTCCATCGACCCCAGAAAACTTAAATCGAATTGCAAAAGGTTTAGGTCATCAAAAATGATAATTGTGCATATGGAAGCGATTGTGATCCAATAATCTAAGGCCAGAGGAGCACTACTTTTGTGGTGGAATATACTGGCCAGTTTGTTTTGCGTTAGCGACATTGGATTAGATGTCATGGTGAGATGTCACAACGTGTGTCTTCTCCCGGGTCTCTTCATTGTTTCCCTGATTGTTTTCAAACGTGCAGCTTTATTTGCCGTAAGTTGAACAACTTAATTTGTTTCCTATCGGTCTTTGGCATCGTTGTTTCATTTTGTCAAAGGCAATGTTCTAATTGCATTTCGTTTCGCTACACTGTAAGGTTTCGGTTCGTTTTGTGATAGTGGTGGGAGATGGTTTTGTGTGACAATCACGCAAGCACAAAGAAAATCATCCTGATCGGTTTTTCTTATATACTTATCCGTGTAGACATTTGGTCAGAAGCATCCGGATTTGTTTCTCCTCATCATTATTATCGCACTTCGAACACCGAGTTTCTAATTTGAACTCATTCTATTCTGTCCTACCTGGTAGGTGTCAACAAACCGTGAATGCGATCGCACGCGCCTACAAGGCTCGGCATGTCCGTTCCCGTTCCCCATCGCCCTCCGGGGTGCATTCATCCAATCCAGTGAATGCGCCTTACTGGTCCTCCTCCTCCACACCATCTGATCGTCCTCGACTGGGTGAATGTCGCGTTCAATCAGCACCGGTTTGTCGACTATTGCCGAGTCGATTGCATTTGCGTGGACTCCCGGTTCGACCTGCTAAACAAATCGGTCTCTGTAATTCGGATATCAGTTTGAGGTGAGCTCTTGGTGTCATGTGAGATATCAGCTATCGAATGACATATCGATCGGTTTGCAAAGTACTTTCTGCACGAAAGGTGACAGTGGCGACTCGTAATATCAGGTTATGTTCGGCAGCAGTTACAAAGCGCTGGCACTCATCACATCGCTCCATACGTCGTGTGTTTGAACACCATCGAGGCCGTGTAACCTCGACACCTCTCTTTAACTTTTGACAGTCTTTGTTTGGTTGCGATCCTCTCTGTAAAAAATCATTGTGCACATATATTGTTTATCAAACGAATCATATTAGTTAGAGGAGGATTTAATACAATTACATAATGAATTAAATCATGTACGGACCAAAAAATGTGAATTTGAAAGATAAACAGCACTGGACGGCTGTTTCGACTTGCTTCGATCTCATTATCTGTGCCAATCCTTTGACCCAACTGAGGTTTAAAACCTGAGGCTGCACAGACAATGCGAGCATATCACTTGATGAAATTTGTGAGTTAGGCGAATTAGATCTTCCACTGCTCACCTGTATGATCAGATTCGAAATTTTCACCGACCAAGTCAATACTCTGGAGGCTAATGTTAAGTTGACTAAAATGAGATGCTCTGAAAAAGTTTGCAAAGATTGCTCGTGCCATGTCACGTGTGGAAGAAGTAAAGATACAGTTTGATCGTCTGCCCGGTAGTCTAGTGGGCTGTATACACGCGTTCTAACAGTGAAGCCTTGGTTTCGCGATCCTTACTTGGATCGATGAATTCGTACTATCGGTGATATTTGAATCGGCGGAAACAGCTATACAGTGGTTCTTAGGTTTTTCCATTCCCCCTTCATCTGTCCTTCATATGATGAAATTCATCCT